TCAACCACCTTTTCATCTATGAGCACCTTCCTAGCTGGCAGTCACATAGCGATTCTTGGGACTGAAGTACCATCACTCCATAGAACAACCGTGTTATTCCACTTTTCTGCTTCCCTTCTTCGTTCCTCGGAAAAGCAAAACAACACAATTTTTCTTCCAACTGTATGACATTTAAAGCAAATTAGTGGGAAATCTGAACAAAGAAAACAATTAAAAAATATGAGATCCAGGAAGCGTTACCTATGTGAAAGTCCTTGAATCCATGATATGGGGGTGAAAGGCAATTTCGCAACCACTCGTCCATCAAATATAGAGGAGAACGTGGAGAGTAGCGCAGTGAATGCGAAACCAATCGCAAGCATACTTTTCATCTTGAACATACTCATATCACGATTTGTCGCTTTCAGCCTCTCCTCCTCTCGTTCGATTTTCCGTTTTGCTGTACGATCCACTTCTGCTGTCGTCTCCTTCTGAAACTGCGCATTTCTACAAATTTGAAACTGAAAGAATCGAAACTCAAAATTTTTGCAACTCAAATGGCAATAGCATCAAAACTGCGTGAACGAAATTCATTAATTCCAATGCATGGATGATATACAATTACTTACTGTCCTTTCAGGAAGCGATATCCTGCTGGTACAGAAGGCACCATTCAGGAAGGAAGGAACCGAGACTGCTTTCCAGTTCCTAGTATGAAAGCATATATGAAGTCAGGCAATTACTAAAACTCTGCCAGGCCGAGTTGGGCTACGTCTTTTTCTTCCTGAACAGATTTCCACAAAAAAAAATTTTTTTTTGAGAAAGTGTGACCTTTCGCTCGAGTTTTTTCGTTTTCCGTTCCATCTCATTTTTCAGGCGCTTGTACTGCTCGCTACGATAGACCAGCACGTAGGTGAGCGCTTCGCCGACCAGTGCCGTACATGTGGCAATGAAAATTATCAGTAAGCAGTCCGTGTACATGATCAGTTCTTATGACACATCGACCAAATATTAGTCTAAACAGAAAAAGTCACGCGAATAAGACACAAAACCTGTTCATCAAACAAATGTGGTTGTTCCAGAAGCACAAATTGCCCAGCAAATAAATGAAATGCAACGGGAGCAGGCACACAAGACAATCAAGTGAGATAAGCCCAAATATACGAATAAGGAACTTTTCTGAGTGCAGTATTTGAGCATTTGCTGCTGTAGGTCCCTTGTACTGGTGGGTCATCGTTTAGTTAAATCTCTCACAAATGGATATTTGACAGGTATGAATGTACACTCATCTACAGCAAACGCGCCCCTCAACAAGTAAGCCTACATAGTAAACTAACTCAAATGTATGCGCCAAATAGCAAAAGAAATAAGTTCACCCCACGTAACAAGAACGCATCTGGCCTGGGACTAAAATGTACACTTCTTGAAAAACCCCTATTTGCTCCTCCTTTTGATTTCTCATTAAAAGTAGAAAAATGAGGTATTTTACCACAGATGCTTCGAAAATTTACACAGTCAACAATAAGTTTATTACGATGAAAGGATGTATGGCATAACCATCAACGATCCTGCAATTAGAAATACACGAGGAAAAAAAACTGAAATAAACAATGACCGATTCTTTTAACTCAAAAATTTCACTAAGACAATAAACAATTATAACAATATTACTTTTTGGTGCTGAGAAAACTTTACGCCAACATAACAAACAACCACACTTTACGAACAACAATACACAGAGTTCTC